ATAGATAATTTACGGAGAATACGAAGAATATAGAGATTTTGATCTAACTTTTGTTTCAATCTCAGTGTCATGACGACGAAACTAAGCATCGACTGCGCAAAAATGTCCTGAGGCCATCAATTCTTGTTTCACTCGAAAGTTTTCACTGAAATGGACAAAATTCTTTTGGTATTCGTATAAGATCACACAAGTTCTTTTATAATGAGAGGCTTATAGTCCAAACTAAAATGTAATCATTATAGTCTTACACATGGATGTGGCGCATTGTCGATCAGAGTCAGACTGGTACAAAAAAATACGACTATACACTAGCAAACGGGTGACAAATGTAAGCATCACAAAAAATATCTGCGACTATGTCAAATTACAAAACAAATGTTAGCCTAAGATCAGCATCACAACGGAAAGTATAGAGAATGAATAACGGTTTTCTAACAAAGTCCAGCCGAACGAGATCATAAGTATTTCAGCATCAGCTCCATACAGATATTCCAAAACTAAACACTATGCTACCTCCGACCGTACGCCGAACTGGTTGTAATTTTGCAAGCTTGAAACTTGACCTTTCTGTTAAACGGCATTTGCTACAAATCTGTCACAGCGTGTCACAACGAATGTATCGTCCAGTTACGTCAGTCTGGTGTTGCAAACAGAATACTCTCTAACCAATCAGTGTTCCACAATCTACGCTGGTCACAGAAGTTTGCAATACTAACACGTAAAGTAGCGCGAATTTCAACAACCTATATCAAACAGTTTCGCGGTACTTAACCATGTTAGTAGGTGTTCTTGTTTAGCACGCACTTCTCTCATATTTCTCCATATATGTTGCCTTTCTTTAGTGCGGCTGTAAAACATACTTTTGCAAACTTCACGTTTAGCGGTTTACAGTCGTTCAGCTACTAAGTAACCTTGATATGCGTATGGTAACCGATCTACCAAAAATGAAGTAGATCATACTATCTAACCAGATGTATAAGGCTGTTCTCAAACGAGAATATATTGGTGAAATTTGAGGTTGTCTCATAACCAACTTACCTGGTTACACTACATACATAATCCAATAAGTTCAAGATTAGTCAGCACAGAATTGTCATGCTTTGCCTACCTAATTATCTGGTGTTAATAATAACCGTAGGAATGATGTCGTTTGCATTTCAACGCCTGCCATAGGGCAACAGCTTATTGTTTCTCCTCCAAATGAATACGAGATAGCTTAACTATTAATTGAAAATGAATGCGAACACTAACAGTGGATAATTAGTACTGAATGTGATTATATGGGAAGGCAATAGAGATTCGCTAGACAACCCAAATACTGTAGCAAAATGGCGTTCAATAAAGCACAGTCTACATTGTCCAACTCGCTGGTTGCCATGCCATACACGCGCCCGCATTTATGAATCAAAATTCCGGTCCACAACAGTCCCGGTTTCCGCTCACACGCCGTGCGCACTTCTGCCCGGTTTGTGTATGTGTGCGTGTGTGTGACGAACGCCTTCTATCGAGGGGGCTCCGCTTGCCATTCTTCGTCCGTAGGTCCGATCTCGTTGAGCCATGGCTCATCCGGTCACTCTTGTTGTCCGTAATTTATCCACTGTGGGCTTTGACCGTATTCCACGACCTTGTCGAGGTATTCCTCTGAGTGTTGGGATAATGACACCTCCGACCTGGTTGTCCACCCCATTTTGCCTGCCATGTCTCGCCCTTTAGTTCGATCCATTTGGGCGGTAACACATCCGGTCGCCCACGCTGTCTCCGATCCGCTCGCTGTGGGTTTTTGGACGTACCTCCCTCCCGCGTTGAGGTATTCTGCCGCGTGTTGGAATACTCGCACCTCCGGTCTGATAATCCACCACAATACGACTAAGATTTTAAAGGATATACATATAGATTTGTTTGTCAAACGATTAATACCTAGTCCTTCCACTTCTGTCAATAACTGTAATAACCACATCATCTTGGATCTACTATAGGCAGTCTGCATTTAGTGTTCAACGAAAGAACCATATGTGACTCTCAGTCCACGTTCTTATAAAGTACTCACAGAAGTTCCAAACGTCATCTAATATCTCTGCGTAGAAACTTATCCTTTTCTTCATTAAGGTTTAAAATCTCAATTTGATACTGAAGCTCGGTGTTAGTTGCCACAAGGTTTAAGCGGTTATCAAAATAAATAGGTGTCATTGAATCCGGTAAACCTCATCCTGATCATGATATCTGTATATATGCCAACGAATTACGCCATACCTGTGGGGATCCCTATGTTTTCAAGCGTGTTGCCGAGCGGCCGTACTTCCTTTTACTCAACTACGAAACAGGGATTTGGTCAAACCACGCCATGCAAAGCTAGAACATTGAAGATACTGACCACCCCATATGCGCTTTGCGATGAACCAAACGTTGTAACTTGCCATCCGCAACCCTATTGATAAATGCATCTGAAGAAGCTAAACTGATGTTGGATTCAACTTTGTGAGATAAAGATAAGTTAGGGAGGATACTTTCAAGGACGTTGCACAGCAATTTAAAATAAGCAACATCAGTGGAATCATCAAAAATTTCTCAAAGATTGGGTTCCAAATTTCAGTGTTCTATTTATCCTACCTACGGAGAGAGGTCCGCTTTACCAATCAGTCCACTTGCACGACTTGAGCATTCTTCCAGGTTCTAAACTCATCAAGATGGCTGCATATTGCTAGCTGTTAATGGCATTTTTAAAGGTTTCCGTTAACAACCGAGAGCATTGCTTATGGTGCACATAAGGCAAAATTGAAAAGAGTGCCTGCCACTTTTTTAACTCTACATACGATCCGTCCTTAAGGAAGACATTCAATAACCCGCGGTTGAGTCGGTCCACAGATAGATAGTGATTCTTCCAAATATTTTTTTCAACTAAAGCGCACAACCTACACTAGATCGAACCAAGCGTGTCGTCTTTAATCCCACACAGAAGGGTTTCGTATCACTTCAAGCCGATGGCACCCTTTGCCCCAGCAACCCAACAGGGATTTGACATCTCTTATTCATGCTTTCGTTAGCTGTAACGCAGTTCATCGCTCACTTCCACCGCCTTACAATGGTCTATTCAAAGTAATTTCGCGAGCAGATAAAGTTTTTCATAATTAAACACTGCGGAAAGCATGCTAGTATAGTCACTGGCTGTATAAAGCCCAGCAAAATCGATACGCCTCAGGTACTGTTGTCCCCACCTAGTACCAAGCGAACTGCATCACCAACCTATGAAGCGCTCACTGTATCCACTCTCCACATATATGAATTTTCAATTACATCTGACCAAGATAACAAAAGAGAGGATTACCCTTGTCTGTCCATCAGATAAGCGGGTACTTCATTATCACAGCTATCTTCTCATCTTATTTCATTCCATCTAACTAGGCGTTCTTGTAGGTATGGTAATTTGTCAGGCATGAACAACTTTTAAATCACTCATTCTTGCTTATCAGACGATTAACGAACATTTATCCCTCGCAAATACTGTGTGTATGATTACTAATTTTACTAATTTTGATAACTAACAATACTTTCCTCATGTACGACAATAGCTCTGTGTTCCACTCGAAGTGAGTAAAAGTGACCATGAGACGAAAAACAATATTTGTAGACAGTTATCATTCACTCTGTATGTTTGCCCGATAGCTTGAAGACAATACACAGATCCTTCACTTCAGATTTTGCTTTGGCGTACAACGAACCTAAGAACAAACACGATCACATGTCAGCAACCCAAAGGCCACTTCATAAAGCCGGTACTTCTATCATAATGGTTGCCTTGAATAGTACGATGGTCATCTTGAATAAATTGGAACACCTTCTGTGATTCGAATCCACTGGTTAACGTAACTTGTTTGAATTCTGCAAATTCTGTGTCGTTCTCCCTCTTTTTTATCACCGATAGCCTAGTGAGGGAAGCTTGCTTTTAGTTAAGCTATTCAGCCGATCCTACCTTACCACTACAGGTCAACTCGCTGTTACATGAGAGCAGGCATCCATCAAGCCTCATCAATCTCTGTGTTCAAATCTATATTGCTGAACTCAAAAGCGACGATTTCACTTCGTTAGATAATGAAAACCTTGGAAACCAAGTGTCAAGCCCAGCGACCCACAGATTAACTAACCCAACACTAACACCACTCCCAACGAAGTCAACGGTGGTGTAACATAAAAAGCGCGTGTACCAGCCAAGTATTCGGTTTGAGAGTGTTCATATAACTGTTCCTGAGTACCTTTTTCTGATACTTTTACAGTTCACACGATAACTCCATTATACACTATAGTGTATGTGGCTACTGCATCAATAATACCAGAACGATGATGGGGCCTAGGGGCAAGAGGCAATCTGAATTTATTAGAAATACAATACATATTTTATAGTGACTCAACCGTGTTCGTATTAATGATTAGAAGTCGATGTCAGCCAGGTAGCGCTCTGATTTGCCCATCTTCATTCAGTTCCAGGACCTTGATTAAAGCAGTTAGGATGTTCAAATCTAACATGCATCCAAACAAGTTGCTTTGATCGCCACCTCTTATAAACAAACACAGTGTAACAGGTAATCGCTGTTTCCAGTTAGTTGGTGTTGATCGACCACAGATCCGCTCACGGTAGTTTGTGCGCGAGCTCTGGTTGACGGAAAGTTCTCCAGACAAAAACCACTCTTATCCAACCTCATTATATATACGGGCTATCGGATGCAAACTACAGTAGTTATTGAGTAGACAACTGGATAGGTGGACTAACAAATCACACCAGGAGTTGTTATAGAAAAAATCACACACGTTTCCATCGCCACAGAAGGTTCAGGTCAAGAAACGCTATGTTGCCGCAAATGTGCGTCTATAAGCCTCTTCGCTCAAAACTCCACCTTCATTAATGTGACCCGTCGTGTAAAGGAAATTGTACAATAACTAGGATTGAATTATGGATAAGCAGTTCGGCAAATTTATGATTTTAGATGAGATCCAACTGTGAACAGTCTGGGCTTCGGCCGGATTCGAGCCAGCAACAGAAACACCGTGCCTCAACGTGGCAAACGCTCTACTAGCTGAGCTACGAAACCACGTCAGGAGATCGGAATTTTCACATATGGACTCGGTTACCCACCCGTCCCACTGTCTCATATGGAATCCACCAAACGAGTCAGGGGATCGACTGCCCCAGCAGAATTTCTTGAATAGTTGACACTGCTGAGCAAAGAACCTGTATTACTAATAAACAATGGAATTTCCGGGATCCTGGAGTGGCTTCGTAGATCGCTTGTCGCGTTCAGGCATGATGTTTTTGTTGCTGGCTCGAATCCAACCGAATCCCTGACTTTTCACAGTTGGGTCTTATATAAAATTATGATTGAGCTCAACGTAAATTAACCCTCATATTAATTACTGCGAACATTTAACAGAGATTTTGCCACCTAAGTTCTGTAACATATTCTGCACTGCTCTGAGGAAACCTTCATTCTGTTAAAAATTTCTGTTCATGTATGTATGCATGGTGGCCACTTCACACCGTGCCACACAGCTTAAAAATATTCCTCGTGAGTGGAATACACTTAGGTTTTTACTCCAGCTTAGTTCTGAGTTTACATAGACAGCTCCGGCTTATATTCTATCACATACTAAACAACAACTCACTTTTTCACAGTAATTATTTTCGCAACACATTTGCGTAACGTTCAACCTTGAGTATAGTGATCTTGTAACGCAATACTAAAGTGTATGTACACATATTCTGTCTTCTTCTCTCATTGTGCCATCGCTTAACGATACTACACGGATGTTCTTTTCAAATTTCAGCTCCGCCATACTACGCACATAGTTGCAGCTCTGACCTCGCTTCAGCGGCTTATGGGCAACTTCAAAACAAACGCGCTTTACTAACGTTAGTATCCTGGAGTACTGTGGGAGCCCTCCGAAACACCCGTAAACACATTCTGTGAACTTTTTTTTACCTCAGTAACCTTCCTCAGTGTATGTGTTCAGTTTACTTGTACTGTTAGTTAGAAGTATATGCACTTGAATATACTGGTCAATCGCTCACAGTTGATCATCGTAAAACCAACTGGACCTGAGTGGATATCGAAACTTTTCTCTAGTGCAACCGTTGTTCTCCCATTGTCTTACAGTCGACATTCGATACACAGTTCCATTACACTACCGTTTATGTGGATCTTGCACATTGAGACTAATGAAAACTAGTCAAATGAACCTTTTAGTTGTTACTTTAGGCAAACAGTGGAATCAGTACATTTTCGTTTGCTGTCCTCTACCAAATTCTGTCACGTTCGAGGTTGCGAACATTAGGTAACTGGCGATGGTTTTTCTTCATTGAAACACCCAAAGGACCATATTCACAGAGTAACCAAAATTGGTTCTACGGCAGGTGCGGGCCCTAAGTAGGACATCTTAACTCGATTGAGTTCATGACGCTTGTGATCTCTCTCAGCTTGGTCAAATTGGAAACTGTTAGCGTAATCTGATTCCGTTCTCTACAACACCACTAAAAGTATTTATCGTAGGTTTGGTTGTGGCTCATGGTTTCTGAGTCCAAAGACATGTATATTCTGTTTTTATAGTACAACTAACATCGATGCTGTCGCTCAGAAAGTGTGACTGTTTATTCGCAGGTCTAGGACCCAGAGGCATGAGATGTATCCCAATACCATTCCGCGAAGTAACTTTGTGATCTCACTTTCCGTAAGCCACCTTACGGTGGTGAGAACAGCTGGTGTAAAAACTCTGTTTATAACGTTCTTCCCAACTGTCTCAAAGTGATCGAAAAGAAGACAGACTGTTAGGACTAATTGGCTAATACGGTCAATCGTGATTTAGAGCACTCAGACTCTGAAAACGGGCTAAGAATAAGTCTAATTGTCTATGGTTTGTTTTTGCACTACAGTCATCTAGTAACGATGAAATCATAAGGCGCTTGTTGAACTGGTTAGAACACGATGCTGATATTAGTCAAACGATAATCAGTGATGAGTGTCAAAGAACGAACAACTTGAATTACGATATCACCATAATAGCTTCGATGGTATATGATTCAAATATTGGCAAAATATATGTGGTAAGGAGATCATTTTACTCGACCCCCTTAGAAGTCGAATGTGATGGTCACAACAGGTTCGCGAAAGCATATTCACTTGATGGTGATCTGCACTATGTTTGCCCGCTGAAAAGGGTAACCGCAAACGCAGCGTTGTTGCTCAAATCGTCAGATGCCTGCACGAAACCGAAAAGAAACTATTCGGAAGACAGCATAAGATGTAAGAAAGCTGCATTCCAATAGTCGGCCCGACACCTGAGACTAATTCTCTAGCCCGATGGAAGTTTCCAACAGAGGGCGACGTTAGCACCTCAAGACTATTCCAACGTAGACTTCACAGCACTTTCCAGAGGCACTCATGAGACCGTTAAACCTACAAATCGCATATCGCAAAATGATTTTACCACAACTTGCAAAGGTCATCAGCTATGACACAATATTCCTAGAACATCATGCCAGATGGCGACCAGTACATGGAGGTTCTGCAAGCGAAACTTACACAAACATTCAGTTTACTAAACATGTTGTAGTGTGTTATCAAGCCGGAGGTGCGAGTATTCCAACACAAGGCGGAATAACTCAACGCGGGAGGGAGGTACGTTCAAAAATCCACAACGAGCGCATCGGGGACAGCGTGGGCGACCCGATGTGTTACCGTCCAACTGCATCGGACCAACGGGCGAGACATGGCAAGCAAAATGAGGTGGACGACCAGATCGGAGGTGCGATTATTCTAACACTCAGAGGAATACTTCGACAAGATCGTGAAATACGATCAAAGCCTACAGTGGATAAATTACGGACAACAAGAGTGACCGGACCTACGGACGAAGAGTGGCAAGCGGAAAGCCCCCGATAGAAGGCGTTCGTCACACACACGCACACGCACACAAACTGGGCAGAAGTGCACACGGAGTGTGAGCGGAAACCGGGACTGTTGTGGACCGGAATATTGATTCATAAACGTGGGCGCGCGTGTAGCATGGCAACCAGCGAGTTGGACAATAAAGATTGTGCTCCTTTCAATTTGAACATCACCCACAATTGATGGCAGCTGTCGCATTGCCATAGACTTTCCATTCGGCCCATTTCGAAAAGAATTACTAGACTCGAGTTTCGCTCCCATCGGAGCTCGTCAGTAGTGCATTTAATGAGAGCGGAGATCTTGAATTGTCTAAGAATTCCTAATCGCGAGGTTATCGATTGGAGTTAACAGACAGTGTCTCCTATCTAGAAGATCGGGCAACCTAAACATTACTCACAAGCGAAAGTGGTTGAGCGTTCACATATGATAACTCGGTCATGCCTAATGTGAGGCCAATGGTGCAGTGGTAAACACGGTTGCCTCATGAATAGCGTGGCCGGAGTTTTAGTCCCGGTCGTGGCAAGGATATGCACTACTGACGAGCTCTAATGAGAGCGAAACTCGAGTCTAGTGCTTCCTTTCGAAATGGGCTGACTGTAATATCTACGGGAATGTGACAGCTGCGATCAATTGTGGGTGATATTCACCTTGAAATTAACCATATCCCTGACTACTCATCAGTAATAAAGATTGTGCTTTATTGGATGCTACTTCGGTACAATATGACAGCAGGAGGTCATGAGCGACCGCGTAATGCACTAAAAATATGGTCAGTTATAGCATATTTTAGAGAAAACTTAAGATATTTATATCGAAGTATGGTGTCAAACGTATTTTCATTGAGACGCTGCCTTGGACGAATGCCTAACTGTAATCAATTCATGCCATTTTGTGATTTGTGTACGTTAGGGATGTCTGTGTAGGCCGGGCTGTATTTTTTCACTATCAACTACGTTTTACCGCAGTCTGTACATTTTCTCGAAACCCATTAATACAATATCTGAACTTTCGTGAAGCTGCAGCACTTCAAATCATTACATAAAGTCCTATTCAAAAGGCTTTGACAAGATTATGGCACGAATGTACAAACTTGCAACAAATAAGATGGAACTAAACCAAGAATGAAGGCTTAGAATCTTCTTATTCGAAATTAATAGGCGTTCTCAGTATTCAACTAATGATCCGGTTGGTGCCCACAATAGTCAATAATTAACTCTGTTGGAAATGATCTGGAGTAGTATTGGGTTAGCCTTCCTGCATCCCATAAGGAGCTGAAGAAGGAATACATACCTCTTTGCCTAGAATGTTTTGTGAATCACGGTGGTTTTAGTCATCTCTATAAACGTGCCGCTCCTAAACTAACCACCAGTGCCAGAGATTCCTGTTCTTCAACGACAGCCAGGTTGGACGTTGTATGCTGAACCCAATAACTTTGTGTTTTTTTACACAAAATAATGCATGTGACGCAATGTTGTACGGATTCGAATCATCAGAACAAGCAAACTAACAGTTACTTTCAGTCATACCAACAGAAAATCCTGCCCAAGCGCTCAAGCGTCTGCAATGTAATACGCAGACACACTCGTCGTTAAGTCTGTCCACGATCAAGTGGTCCGGTATGGTAGGTGATCAGTCATTTTACACATGAACGATTAGCTGACAATCCAGCCTGATTGAACATTGGGGGTAGTCTCGACACTCAGACACTCATAGTGATTGAACATGTTTCCTGTTCACTGTGTGAATTCCGAGGGCTAGTTTTGACCCTGTGAGAAGTAGAGCAGCCCTTTTTATCCGAAATCTGAAATAAAATTGTTTCCCATCGACTTGTAATTTCACTTCATTGCTTGTTCTAGATAATTTGTCGTCCAATCAACTCATATTCCATTTTAGTTGGTTTTGCAAGAACTTTTTCGGTTTGGCAAAATCGGAGGTTACTAAAAACTGAAGTAAGAACTTGCATTGCGGAGGCGGCCATATCGGGCGGACAAAGTTAGCCGCCAGTCGATTTTCCGACGACTGGCTGTTTTGCACACATGCAAAACTGGCATGACTGATCGATCTGTCTGCTAAATAAGTGGACTTAATGACGAGCGGCAGTGAAGATCTTAATGATGATGTGTTGTTCATGAAGCTCTACTTCCACGTTT